GGGAAATTAAATAAATACTGTTTGAAAAAGTGGACTCAAGTATGGTTATAAATCTCAAAAAGAAACAGTTCTAATTTATTACCCATGTGGGAGAAATTCTGGGTGTACTCTTTCTGGATGTACTTTCCTCTTCACTGTTACAACTATGGCACAGAGGGGCAATTATCAGTTTGTGAATTCTACTGTGAAAAAACCAAAGTGACCTCACTGGAAATGTTTCCCAGAGGCTCTCCTTTGCTTTCTAAAATAATATAATTGGATATGAAATAAATGGCTGGCACATTTTAAAACATATATATTGCAAATGACGGCAAACTTGGAAAAAATATAAGTGCTTAAATGCTACGGTTGTGTCAGCAAAGGGGGCATAGGCTCTTGTGTTTTGGTTACATACTAAGTTACTTAATGCTTTAAAAATGTAATAAAAACAATGTTCAAAAGGTTCCTAAAACAATTCCATGTTAATCTGGCTTTTGGTAAAGAAAACTCTAAGGAAAACTTCCTTCCAAATGTGAATGTGTTACAGTGAAAATCTACTGACATGAAATGAAGATAAAATAAGTAACACTTTCCCTTAAATACAAAGGGATATAGTTATGATTCACTAATTAGAAACAATAACATGATTTAAACGCTATGGTAAATTTTATGAGTTGTAGTAAGACCAATTTACTTGGATGGGTAACTGTTAAAGTAAATAGAGGTTATAAACTGTGCTACATAATGTGGAATACTTTAATTCACTATGATTAAGATATAACAAATCAGAAAGCAGGTTCTAAATAAATGATTTTATAAAGACGTTGACTACTGCAAAATCATCTATGATGTCCTATTAAATACAATATCCCTTTTATAAATGCCACAGGTTTATTAAATTTAAGAAGTTGTTTTAGTCTTTCATAATGTCTGAAGATATAAATTGAATTAAGTAAACCCTGATCATAAAAGACAAGCACTCTAGAGTGCTTTGTGGGCCAATCTGGCTTGACAAATAATCAAAGCTTATCCCATCTCAAAGAAAATGTGGGCTTATTTAAAGTTATTCCTTTCTGATCCTAGTTCATTCTGATGCATTATCATTCTAAGTATTCAAACATGATCATGTAGGCAAAAAAAGGAAAGCTTCACATTAAAAAAAAAAAAAAAAAGCATATCATAGACCATAGTCATGTGCCCTTTTTACTGTGCTTTTAAGATCATTAAATGAAATAGTGCTTCCAATGGTCTCTGACATGGCATAGTCTAATATTTAACTGCTTGGATATTTCCTTGATATTGGTCACCATATTGGGCAGTGTTCAATCAGAGAAACTGGATTATATATTTTTAACATACATGAATGAAAACTCTTTTTCAAAGGGGTAAGAGGGTGAAGGCAAAACTTTGAGAACATCTTGTAAAGGTAGATTTATAGAAAGTATGATGTTTATGTTTTCAGGGTTATGGTTTTATCTATAAAAGGTATTTCTTTTTTATTTACAGTTATAATTACATTATAAAATTTTAAAGAAGGCTATAAAGAATAATATTGTCACTGACATACCAGTTTTTTCCTGAGTGTTCCTGAGGAAGGCAGGTTTTATTAGATACTGGAAATGTACAATATATAAGCAATCATTTTCCCCACTTTAGAGAGTACTACTGGTGACAAAATTTCCCTTAAATATATTTTTTTCCTATAAATACTTCATCTTTCACCCATGCTCTAAATAACTCATCTCCTCCATACGAATTTCCCATCTTTGTTATGTACTAGTGGCAAGAACTTGGAAAAAACAAAACAAAACACATTTCACTTCAGGATCTCAGGTTAGGAAACATGTACAGTGTCCATTCGTGTTTTTCAGAATATGAGTCATTATTCCATTAGTGGGTCACAACAAGTATTTTTATAAAATAAAATGGAATTGACTCAATTTGAGTAGAAAATATAAAGGACAAGACACATTGTCAGGATAGTTTATAAATTTTCAGTTTTAAATATATGTATGTATACTGTATGATGATTTAAAATATATTCCGTAACATGGCTGCAAGCAAAAAACTTTAGAAAATATTTTTCTAAAGAATCATAAATACCTTCTAAGTCTAAAATGAAATTATTCTATATTCCAGCTCAAAAATTATAAAAATGACCTTTTTCAACCTAGTGTCATATAGGATTTATTACCTAATAGAGAATAAGTAGCTAGCTATAAGGACATTTAAAGTGACTAGAAAATATATACTCTCTCAATTAGCTGTAATCATGAATTGATATCCATTGTAAGTTTTTGAAAGAAACTGTCTTGGCTTTTACCTCCTCAAAAAATCCAACAAAATGTTGGGCATCAACAATTTAGTACAAATATTAATTTGTATGTGTATGCCACACATACTGGGAGCTGGGAGATATAAAATGAATTGGCATAGTACCTGTACTCATTAAGTTTATAATTTTTAGAAAAGCATTAGAGTATAACAAGAAAACATTCTATCCATAACCAAACAGTAGAGTTTAAATGTGTACTACTATGAAATATCATCTTAACAATCACTAATACATTTTTTGAGTATCTAATTCATTCATTCATTCAGCAAACATTTACTGTGTGACAGGTGTTTTTCTAGGTTGGATGTTCCTAGGTTAAAATGACAAAGTACATGATCTCAAGGAGCTTATAAAATAATGGAAAATACAAAAGATAAGTGAAAATATATACATCATATAGTGGTAAGTGACATATTGATGTAACAGGCAGTAACCAGGGCTTCTTTTGATTGGATAGTCAAGTAAGACTCTGTATGAGATATAAATGACAAAAAGAAGACAGCCACTAAAGATCTAGAGAGGAACATTCCAGGAAAAGGGAGTAAGTGAGCAAATGTCAGACCCAAGGCAGACAGGAGTTTGGCATGTTTGAGGAATAGAAAGTAGGTAAGAATAGCTTGAAGGGTGAAGAAAAAATGGTAGATGAGGTAAAACATGTAGGAGGGAGCCAGCCTGAGTAAAACCTTGTAAACCATGGTCAAGTGTTTAGAGTACATTTTTATTGTCAGGAGGAGCCATTTGAGAGCTGTAAGCAAAGAACTTTTGTGGTCTGACTTTTTTTGTTTTAAGACCTGTAGCGCTGCCGTATAGAAAATAAATTTTACACAGCAAGAATGAAACTAAGGAGTTTAGGAGGCTATTACAGTTACTCAGGTGAGAGGTAGTTGTGGCTTAGATTAAGGTAGTAGCAATGGAGAAAAAAAAAAAAGATTTTAGAAATGTTTTGGAAGTACAATTCAGAATTAGCTGATAAACTAGATACAGTATAGTTGGCAAAGAAAGGAATCAGGACACTTCCCAGAATATTAGTTTGTCTAGGAAGACAATTTCATCAACCGGAATGGGGAAAAGCAAGTTAGGGAGATTGGTGGCAGGAATCCAGAGTTCTGTTTGGGATATGTTAACTTTGAGATGCTTATTAGCCATCTAAATGAATATTTGAAGAAAGCAGAACTGGGTTTCAAGGGAGAAATAAGGACTACTGGATTTATGAAATTGGGAGTCATCAGTATATAAATAGTTTTTGTAGCCTCAGAAATAGACACCTCCATGACAGTGTCACGCAACATCTCTTTTAATCTTGAAAATAATTCAAGGTAAATCTTTTCTTTTTACATAGATATAAGTAGCTTTTTTTTTTTTATATGTGAACAACCCTGATGCTCAGAGTTAAACATGCTGAAAGTTAACTAGCTAGTAAATAGTGGAGCTCGGATTCTGTCTGATAGAGTTATTCTTTCCATCATACCAGGTTGTTTTATTGAAGCATTCAAATATGTGAATTTTAGAGTTGCGGATTTTTAATTTTTTGAATTCTTGTTGTTGTTACCATTAAATGTCTGTTCAGTCTGGAGAGAATGACGTTCATTCAGAATCTAATCCGAGTTCATTAATTCACTATTCTTTTCTATCCTTACTTATCTCCTCTGTGGCTGGTGCCATTGACAGTGCCTTTTTTTTTTTTTTTTTTAGCTCTACTCCCTTAGCTTGTGGGATATGACTCGTTTCACGTTGACTGCCTCTTTTCATCAACTCTCAACTATGGTTTGTTATGCAAGACTTTTTAGCCTTCTTTCCTAACCTTACAAATTCCCTCATCACAATGTCATGTTGTCACTGCTTCATGTACTAAATATATGCTTATGAGCTTCAAATGTTTTGCTTCCACTCCAGACACTTCTCCCTGGCTGGGTCCAAAGGTTCCTGACAGCAATTATCCAGGTGGGAAAGAGGTTCCCTCGTGAGGTTAAGAGAAGCAAAGTGTAGGGTTTGTGATGGTCTCATTCGCACATTTATTCAGTATTTCATTTATTCACGTATTTATAAGCACTTACATATTGGCTGCTCTCATGGAGTTTCAAACCTGGAGTGGCAGGCAGACTGATCCACGAGGAGAGGTAACTAAGGGTATGGGTTGGGGGTTGGCACAAACACATTACTGCGACAAAAAGAAGCCTCGGCCACAGGTTCATAATGTGCAAAGGCTGAATCCCACTCAGTCCCTCTAATGGAGTGTATCAGTTTAGTTGACCATTAAAAAGGAAATGCAGGGCGAATGCCACGGAGGAAGCAGGGAAGTTGGGGACCGATAGGGGTTCAGGCAGAAGGTTGCGCTGCAGCAGGCCATGAGGAGAACAAGGAAGTGATTAGGGAGTGGGAAGAGAATGACTACACTTTCGTAAAAAGAAATTAAAAACCGCAGTGCACACACTAAAATCCCAGCATTCGTTAAAACTCCGCGGTGAAACAAACACCTCACGCAACTCAAGCTCTGCCGCCAGGGCGACCTCAGTGTCCCAGCGTGCCGCGCGCCGCCCGACTCGCCCCGCCCCCTTGCCCGACAGCCCCTCCGCAAAGCCGCGTGCACGTGCGCGACGGATCCCGCCTCCTCCGCTCTCTTAACCAATGAAAAGTGGCGTCGTAATTTGCCACCGCCCTGTCACAGGTCACATGATTATGTCTCCCCGCCCCCTCACCTAGCTCCCTCTAGGTTCTGAGAAGATGGCGAAGGTCTCAGAGCTTTACGATGTCACTTGGGAAGGTAACAACGGGCGGGGCGGGCGTGTTAAGACCAGAAGCTCTGGGAACGAGTGCGATGGGCACTTACTGCTGTCGGAGAGCTGGATTCTCTGCTCCCTCTTCCGAAGTGGAGTTCTCACCGAACGGGCTGAGCTGGTGGCCGAGGTGGATGGAGGTGGAGGCTGATCTGTTCGTTGGCCCAGCCACTGACGGGTGTGGGCGGTGTTCTCCATCGCCTGTGTTCTTGGATAGACAGACCTACCCCCGCACCCATTCAAGGGCCCAGGGCTGCTTCTGTTGTGAGGCGGGTGGGACCTGGGGCTGCTGGTTGGCGCCGAGGAGGCGGGATAGGTTGCTGCTGAAGCTGCTTTGCAGCTAAGAAATGCAAGACCTCTAAGGGCTTTTTATTTAATGCTGTGTAGTAAGAGTTACAACTTTGTGCAGTAAAGGTGTGTAGGAGAGCCATGGACAAATATTGCTGTTCAGCATGCTACTTTACATTTCGTTCCCTCTTCACAGCTGAGTTTCTAATTTCTTCCCTTTTTAATTTACTCCTTGTCCTACTCCTCCTCAAACACGTTTACACACACAACACAACTTCCTTCTTACTCCCCACCAGGAGGGCCTTTTCTGAAGGGGAAAAGAACCGGTTGTCTTGGGCCTGGGCTCAAGCGTGATGGACTTCTTTCTCCACCCAGTTTAATGTAAGGTGGAGTGTGTTCTTTAAGTCTGAAAGCAGCCAAACTTTGGCCCAGCTCTGTAACAGATTTTCCCTTCTGAAAAACCTGAGCGTGACGCATGCTTGAGAGAAGAGCCTCGAGTTTCTCTAACGCATGAAATTTCTGTAATTGAAATTTCAGAAAATTCAGAAATTTCTGTAATTGAAATTTGTATACAGCATTTAACAGTAGACTTCAACAGCTTATTTGTTCAAGGAATGCCTTCCTCCAGTGGTTAAACAATGGCCTGATAACGTGTAGTGACAGTTATATTGACTCATGTTGAATAAATCTCCACTTCATTATTACAGAGTTGCAAACAGTATGGGAAAAGGTAAAATTCTTTTATACTTGAACTGAATTCAATGATCTATTATTGGTTTTGTGGCCTCTAGCACACTGTGAACCTTAGTGTTTCTGCCCGTATTGGAGAATTTTATTATATTAAAGAAAAGTATTAAGCATTTAGGGCTAGATCTTGGATATATGAAAGTAAGTAACACACACACACCTACCTTCATGGAGTTCACAGTCTAATGGAGAAGACAAACCTGTCAGTATGTAGTTTTAAAATGCTTGTCAGGATATATTTCTTAAGCTGTATGTTGGATATGTGGTTGTTATTTTTAATGCTTTTTGAAAATGTTTAGAATATGTCATGCTTTTTATTTTTAGAAAGTGCTGTTTTGAAAGTGTGTTTAAGGTTTCTTAGATGACAGTATCATGTATATAATCGCAAGGAATGAGTAGGTGTGTACCACCAGACAAGGTGATTTAACTTAGTAACTTGGAATACTGTGTGGGAATTCTAAAAAGAAATGATTTAATTAGATTTAGAATAATAAATAATTACATCACAAGTTTGTTGAGGAACAAGAGAGAAAACATGGTAAAGTGCTTTTTAACTAATTACTATATAGAAAAGATGATCTGGCTCCTACTTGTGTCTGTCTCTAGCTTTATCTGTTCTCTCTGGCAGTGCTGGCTTTTGTTGATTCCCTAAATATGCCATACTCCTCTTGTATTAGGGCTGGACACATGCTATTTCTTACACTAGAAGTGTTCTTCCCTCATGCCCCACTCTTGACCCTATTATATTTTATCATTTCTCAAAATTCCCATCAAAGGTCATATATTTCACAGAGCTTTCCTTGGCTACCCTACAGCACTTCCCTATCCCTCCACCAAAATTTAAAAAAAGGAACAGGAAAACAAAATCAAACAAACAACAAAATCTACCCCTGGTCCTTTAACTATGTGTCTTCATACTCTTGAAGCCCAGGCTGGTTTGGCTCAGTGGACTGAGCATCATCCCATGGACTGACAGTTCCTGGTTTGATTCTTGGTCAGGGCACAAGTGAAGTGCTTACCCTGTTGTGTTAAGTTTTAAAATTTTCTCTTTCCCTTTGTCCCGTGGACAGGAGAGTCCTGGGTTCTGTTCCCGATAAGGGCATGTAGTTGGTTGCAGTTTGTCCTTGGCCCCTGTTGGGGTTATGTGGGTGGCAACCAGTCGATGTGTCTCTCTCACATTGATGTTTCTCTCTCTGTCGTCCCCCCTCTTGCCCTCCTGCTCTATCTGAAGATAAATGAAAAAAATGTCCTTGGGTGAGGATCAAAAAAATTTTTTTTTCTCTTAGGATGAAGGGAGGGACCAGGCCTCTTCTAGTGCTTGATATATGAGAGGAACTCGGTAGCTACACGATGACTAAATGAACCGCTATTTGGATTAGTGATAAGCATCAAAAAATTGTTACAAAAAAGACTATAAGTAATTTTTCTAGTGTGGGAATAATTTAGTATCTTAAATAGACCTAGGCAACTATACTATAGGATATAGTTTATTTTCTTTCAGAGATGTAATGAGAATAACTCTTTAAAATCTAAAAGGGTAATGGAAGGACTCCCAGGGATAGTTTTTTGTTTATTTATATATTTAAGTGGAAATATCCTTAGGAATGTCATTGAATTGTATCATGAATTGAAGTTGTGGAAATAGTTAGTTCAAAGAGGACTGTAATTCTTGTAACGGGAAGAGTGATCACATGCTTATAAAAGACCTATATAGTACATCTAACGTTCTCCTAGTCTCTATTAGATTCTACTGAAAAACTAGAATATATGGTTTATATATGCAGCCAGTGAAATTATTGAGATTTATTAGAGGAGTTATCACTTAGTGATTTGGAGGTGGGAAAGAGAGTTATAAGGAGGGTGCAGTCAGGTTTCTTGAGAATAGGGTATTTGGGCAGGATATGGATAGGATACCTAGCACATAGTGATCTCTGTCACTCCAGTAAGGTTTCTGGGGAGACCTAATGCCAGGTCTAATGTATGTATGTGTTTTGTACATCTATACTACATTTATCATTGTAGATCACCCCCTTTGAAAAATCCTTTCTTTGGTTTCTTAATAACATTAAGCTTCCCATATTCTCAAACCTTTCCTTTGCTTAGTTCTCTATGTCTATATGCTTTTTTTTGGTGTCTCCAATGCTTCTTTCCTTAGCCCTGTTTTAAATTTATTATCAGTGGTTATTAAACTTGAGATAAATAGGCTCCTTACTGATGTAGGCACAGGTGTTAAGTGGTCTGTGAATTCCCTGAAATTATATGCAAAATTGAGTGTATGTAAATGTGTACCCATTTTGGGGGGAAAACGATGCAAAGGTCTCATCAACTTTAAAAAGATCTAAAAAAGGTGAAATGTTTTCTTTGGGCAATCTCAACCACACCTAGCTTTATTTAGCCTATATGCTAAATAACATGTTAATTACATGTATTTTAGTACTGGCACCAGGCACTGTTCTAGTTCTTGAGGACACAGTGTTGAACAAGTCATTCAAGATATCAGATTCAGAACATCCCTTGAGATTTCAGTTCTAAAGATAACATTTTGTGAAGGTCATTTTTATAGGATAAGAGCCAGACAGGTAGGTTGGTGCCCTGAATGTTAGCCTAAGGCATTTGGACTTTATTTTGTAAATAGATAGGAGCCACTTTCCTATTAAAAAAAAAAGAATGACTTTTTATTAAACTTAAAATTTTAAATGTTCATGTTGATATAGGGCATGGCCTTTTCTTTGATAGCGATCCCCTGATTGAAATTCTTTGTCATGTTTAATAAGCCATTTTCAGTTTTGCTTCTTTTAATATGCAACAAAAACATAAAGACCCTTGTATAGGAGCTTCAGTGCACAAGTCTCTTAGATTTTTATTATTTTCCTCATTATATTTTAAAATAAGTCTCCTTACCTAATATGACAGCAGTTTTTTCCAAGCCATTTATCTACCCAAATGGAGTCTTTTCAAAACATCTAGCTTCGTTGCATAGGAATAAGCCTGTCTTTTTACATTCAAGTTTTCTTTGGCCTAAGTAATATTTACTGCACATTACATTAAGTTCAAATGGCATGAACTGGTTTGCCTACCAACATAGGTGAGTTTTTTTTTTAATTTTTTTTTTGATTGATTTTAGAGGGAGAGGAAGGGAGAGGAAAAGAGAGAGAGAAACATCGATGTGAGAGAACATCGACTGGCTGTCTCCTGCATGCCTTCCACCGAGGTTCAGGCCCACAACCTGGGCATGTGCCCTGACTGGGAATTGAACCGGTGACCTCTTGGTGTATGGGTCGACCGCTCAACCACTGAGCCACACCAGCCGGGCCCTGACTTTTTAAATGTAACAACTGATGGAAATAGTTAACTAAGAGCTAGCTCATAAGGCCTTTTGGCCAAGAGCTTCTAAGATGTTATGGGCATCGTTAGTATATTTTGCAGAAAGAAATTCTTTGAATTTTGCTTGGCCGATGTGGCTCAGTGGTTGAGCATTGACCCATGCACCAAGAGGTCACAGGTTCAGTTTCTGGTCAGGGCACATGCCCAGGTTGTGGGCCAAATACCCAGTATGTGTGTGGAGGGGTATGCAGGAGGCAGCCAATCAGTGTTCTCTCTCATCATTCTATCTCTCCCTCTCTGTCTAAAATCAATAAAGAAGAAGAAGAAAAAAAAAATCTTTGATTTTTAACTGGAGGATGATTAAGAGAATTTTTATTGTAACTTACAAATTTCACCTGTCATATTGTAATTACTTTTTTACATTCTTTATACACATAGATCTTTTCATTCCTTCCATTGACCCAGCATAGTGGTGAGAGTCAGAATATAAGCTTTCAGTAAATGCTTATTTATTTAATAAGTGAATTTTAGTATATTAAGTTTGTTTATGAACTTTGATGAAAATGGCTTGCTGAATATTTTGTATAATTTTATTTAATTCTGACACATATCATATGAGATTATTTTATCCCCATTTTACAGATGAAGAAGCAAACTGGAAAGGTGAAGCAGCTTGTCCAAGATACCATAGCTAGTACTAGGGACTGAGCCCTTCATTTGTGGAGTCTGATGCTAAATAGCTAACGCCCTGTAGTTGGTGCCAAAACTGAATTGAATTGAATTATTGGATACCGATTTGGTGTTCAGAGAGTTAGAGAATTGATTGGTGTGGGGAAAACTACCCCCAACATGTTTGGTGTCAGAAGTGTTCTGTGGGTAGAAACAGTTCTTAACGGTGTATGAAAATATGGATTAGATAAAGACAATGGGTTTGCACAGGAAACCCAACAGCTGTACAGATAGACAGTACACTGCTACATTGTTTTAATCCTACTTTGCTAACCCTACATTGTTTTACAGTAAAACCTCAATATAAGGGACTAATTCAGGTGAGGTGAGGAGGGTGGCTGTTGAAGCTGAAAGCCTGTTATATAATAAAGTAGGTTTTCCAAATGCGTATGTTAAAAAATTGACAAATTAGTTAGTTTACTGGTTTTTACTTATGTAGACACATTTGTGTAATTAAAATTAAGTATGTATGAAAAGTTTAATTTCACAGAAAAGCTTTCTATATGTATTACTGTAATTTTAAATTTATACTGAATAGGTTTAGTAAATGTTTGCATTCATCACCATGAATAAACAAATGCACATGGCTGGGGTGTGGTTTAGTGCACATGGGACCATCTGTCAGCAGGCCTTAAAACTACTGCAGAAAGTCACCCCTCCAGACAAGAGAACCAATTACCTGGGGAGCTTGGATGTGATCAGGTGCTAATCATTCGCCAAATATCATTTAGGAGCTCTGACTCTTGGATTTAAATTTATTTGTAGATTATAGTTGTACATATGTAATATTTATTTATGTTGGTGAAATTACTGCAGTGTTTTTTCCAGCTGCAGTGTTTTTTCCAGCATATGACCTATTCACTAAAATTTGTTAAAAATAACTGAATTAATAACAACAACAAAAATAACTTGTTAATTTAATTATAAGCAAATCTTGGTTAGATGCATTTTAAAATTAACAAGGTATTAATTTCCACATATGACCCATGGATTGGAAATTTTGTCCATTAAATCTGAAGTCCGTTAAATTGAGGTTCACAAAATCAAGGGTTTACTGTAATCCTACTTTGCTAGTCCTATTTTTAAAATAATATTTTTAATCAGATATTCATCACTGGTTTTAAATACAAAAGCACTTTGTTTCTGATTAATAAGTGAACAGATTTTGTTGTTTTTTTCCAACATTAGTTTTATGTCAGTGATATGATAACATGAGTGACAGTGTTGCTATTACATTCTTCTTTTAGTAGTTAAAATTTTATGCAAGCTGTATAATTTGATGAGTTAATTAATGCAATAAAACTTGGAGATGCATGGTGTGTGTGTTTTAAAGTGCCGTTGTCTGACAACATTTGTGTTACTAATACTTTTGCAGTCTAACTTTATTTCTTGGGAGCTTCATGTCAAGAACCATGTGTTTTTAACCAGGCACAGGAAATATATCTCCATGGTGGTTTTGGTTGATTTACAGATTACAAAATACTATACAGTAACAGTTTTATGAGAGATTTGAGATCATTTCCAGCAAACATACACTCTTGTATTTTAAAACTGTTTAGTTAATAAACTTCTGTTGGAGTTTCAAGGAATTATATTGCTGCTCAACTTAGTATTTTTGAACCTCCCAATGTTTAATTTGGTAAAAGACACAAGATTTTCTTTCATCTATATTTTAAAGGACTTCCCTCTTCTCTCTCCCTCCCCTTACTCCCTCTACCTCTCTTTGTCCTCTCTTTACCTTTCCTCTCACCTTCCCTTTCTCCTTCCCTCTCTCTTCCTCTCCCCGTTTCCCTCCTCCTTCCTTTTTCTTTCCTCTTTCACGTAAAACAAATTTACTGCTGAATTATTTATTACAAAATGAACATCTCTTGATACCACCACCCAGGTCAAGAAATAGAACTTTGCCATCCCACCCAGAGTTCTTTCTGTGTGCCCCATCCCAATCATAACTTACCATCTCCCCTCATCAGTAACCATCATCCTGACTTTTCTAGTAAATAACTCCTTGCATTTTAAAATAGTTTTATTGTCCAAGTGTATGTTCCTAAACATTATAGATTATAATGCCAATTTTTATAAAGTTGGATACATTTTAAAAGTCTCTCTTGACCTTTAGGTTCCCATTCTATCTCTTTGTTTTCTTTAAAATCTATCTGTTGAAGAACTTGGGCCATTTTCTAACATGCAGAGTTGAAATATAAGGCCTTTTAGAAACTTAATCTTCTTACTTCCTACCCACTTATCTCCTGATCCCACTCTGTTTCTTTAATTCTAACTATCAAAAGGAGTTGCTTCTGTGTGGAATAACCTACTTTTTTATTTGCCTGCTACATTCCTCTTCAATTCTTAAGATTCAGTTCAAGATTATTTCCTGTGCAACGTGAGAGTCAAGCTGATTTCTAGGTTTCAGTAGAAGGAATTAACTGTATGTTAATTTGTAATGATTTTCTAAGATCATTTTTATAAATCCAGTTAGGGTCTATTTTCATCTTAAGGATTTTTTTTATAGACTTTATAGGGACCCAGATAATGCCTATGAAGGTAGAAAAAATCTCATGTGCTTCTCTTATATTTATTCTCTAGGGCAGCGGTTCTCAACCTGTGGGTCACAGAGTTTGCCTAAGACATAACATTAGCAAAATTACAGTTATGAAGTAGCAACGAAAATAATTTTATGGTTGGGGGTCACCACAACATGAGGAACTGTATTAAAGGGTCGAAGCATTAGGGAGGTTGAGAACCACTGCTCTAGGGCCTAAGATATTGTTTATTTAACTCATTCATTCAACAAGTCATTAAACGTTTTAAATCTGTTCAACATCTATGTCTACAAAAATAAGAAGTGGTACTTCAGACTAGTATGTGAAATTATCAGAGGTAGGAGTAAGAAAGCATGTGTGTGATTGACAAATTGAACAGTGAATTCTACTCTAACTATATAAAAGAGGCATCTTTTGTTTACTTGATTAGGTACTCTTCCTCCTCCCCAAGTTGTTCTGTTATTACCAAAATATTATTTACTGTTATTACCAAAATATTATTTAAAACTAGAGTTTTCTGTCCTGGTGGGTTTGGCTCAGCAGTTAGTGTGTGGGCCCAAGGACCAAAGAGTCTCAGGTTCGATTCCGGTCAAGGGCACTGTACCTCAGATGTGGTTGGGTCCCTGGCCCTGGTTGGGGTCATGCTGGAGGCAACCAATCAGTGTCTCTCTCACATTGCTGATTCTTTCTCTCTGTCTCTCTCGCTCTCACTCTCTCTCTTTCTCTCTTCCTCCCACTCCATCTGAAAATCAGTGGAAAAATATCCTCCAGTGAGGATTTAAAAAAAGTCAATAAAAAAAATAAAATATATATGAGTTTTCTGTTGTATTACAATATGCAAGATGTTCTCTTGACTTCTGTTGTTTGCTAGTGCTTTTGTCCTTAACTTACATTATTCACATTATTCCTTATTATAAATATAATCAAAAGATGTCCTTTGTTCTAATTTTTTGCATTTATTTCCTTGCATTGTTGTGTATCTTTATATATTCTATGTACTATTTTAGTAATGTTATTAAGGAAGTTTTGTGATCAATATCCCTTTAGTGCTGATAGGCTAATATGCTACCCTGATTATGAAAATTTTATATTCTTGAGTCAATGGGTCAGTTTCAGGAGCACTTTGAATTTTTGAGATTTCTATGTATAATTTTATGCATTTTTCTGGGAAAATAATCCGTAGCTTTTATCAAATTGTGAACATTTTCTGTAATCTCAAACATGTTAAGATAATAATTACTTAAAGGGATAGAGATCTTTGTAGTAGACTTATGCCATTCATAACTTTTAAAGATAGGTGTAATATCAGTTATGAATTTGCAGTCTTCCAAAGGACCTATTTTTCTTGTTAAATTGGTATTCTGCTTTATGAACTTTGAGATACATGAACTTTTATATTAGTGTGAATTTATTTTCTTTACCAAAAAAGTTGACTTCCTTTTGTTAATTTCTTGACATTGATCAATATATATAATAACAAGTTTTTTGTTTTCAGAAATGCGAGATAAAATGAGAAAATGGAGAGATGAAAACTCAAGAAATAGTGAGCAAATTGTGGAAGTTGGAGAGGAATTAATTAATGAATATGCTTCTAAGCTTGGAGATGATAGTACGTTTTTAAATTTATTATATTTATGCTCAGCACATGTCTATTTATCATTCTTAGTGTTTTTTTAAGAAAATCTTTTATTAAGTTTGTTTTGGTGTTCATACCAATCTATCTGTGATTTTTCAATTTTTAAAAAACTTTTCAGGAAGACTAATGCTATTTTATTTTGAGAAGGCTTTATAATTTCTGTTAGTGAAGCTATCAAATAGGCTTTTTTTTTTTTTTTAAAGCTCACAGGGCTGCAGTCCTGGTCTGGTCAAAATGTATTTCATAAATAATCTTTTAGAACAGTAAAAGTAGTAGGTAATTGGAAATTGTTTTACTTGATATTAAAATATTTTATATTGCTGAAAGCATATAAGGATCCTTTCTTGCCTTAATTGCTGATGTAATATAACAAATCAATTTTTAGTTATAACTACTATTCTCTAAAATTCCAAACAGGAAAAATTTATTATTTAGTTTCTGCTGGGAGATTTTTATAGTAAATTTATTTATTTTTCTCTATATGTATCTAGTTTGGATCATATATGAACAGGTGATGATTGCAGCCCTAGACTATGGTCGGGATGACTTGGCATTGGTATGTATTTAAACTGATTTTATTTTATATTTAATATGCGTCATGGATTATATATAAGCAGTTAAGACTTAGTATATGGCTTATATATAATGCTTTCTATAGCTGGTTTTCAGTGGTACTCTTAAGAGTAGGTAGAACTAACTAGGTACTAACATAGTATGTTCTTAAATCTTTTTAATAATCCTGAGAATTAGATAGTTGGTATCCCAGTTTTAGTGAAGAGGTTAAATTAATTGGTGAAGGTTATGTACTTACTGAGTGAATTGTGCTGCATTATAGAGTTTATAATAAGAAATAGATACTTTAAAACAAGTTTGTTTTTTGGGTTGTTGAATATCTTTTGTAGTATATGTTGTTAAATATTGTTTTGCAATATTGTAAATGTATACCTTAAATTATTAGAAAATCCAAACATGTACAGAGCATGACTTAAATTACTAATACTGCTTTTAAAATACAAGAATGATAATAGCTATATTTTGAACATTCACTTGCTAGGTACTATGCTAAATACTTTACATCATGCTTTATTTAATTTTCATAATAATTTCTTGATTTGTGTTTAATATTACTATATTCATTTTATAAATAAGGAAACAGAAGTTTCTGTTCTTTTGTTTCTATAATTATGAGTTTTTAAGTACTACTTCATAATCCTTTCTCATTCAAGCAAAAAGTATTACGCAGAAACAAAATAGAAATACTGGAGCACATATATATCTTTGAATTAGCGTTATCCTTTTTAAGGTAATTACATTAGATTGGCTATGGACATAATTCCAGTGGAGCTTCCAGTGGTAAAAAATATTCCACAAAACCTTTTTGGATTACCTTTAGACCTATGACACACACATAGTTTTTTGAATATTCACAGAGGTAGCAGTTTGTATCTTGAGGGAAATTTTGAATTTTTTTTAATGGCCAAAGGCCATTTGATAAAGTAGGAGATCAAATTAGATAGCTTTTCTTGTAACACAGTATTTATTTATTTTAATGTTTTTGTTTATCTTCACCCAAGGATATTTTTCCAGTGAATTTTAGATAGAGTGGAAGGGCAGGGGGTGGGAGAGAGGGAGAGAAACAATGATGTGAGAGAGACACATCTATGGGTTACCGCATACATGACCCTGACTGGGCTTGGGATGAAACCTATAACCCAGGCATGTGCTCTTGACCAGGAATCGAACCCGGAACCCTTCAGTCCACAGGCCAATGTTATAACTGCTGAATCAAACGGCCAGGGCAGTATTTATTTTTTAATGTTTAGAATTTTTACACAGTTAGCTTGATTGACCTAGTAGTATGAGTTTTGAATGATGTTAAAGAAATCAGTGAACATCATTTTTGGTTTTGATTAACTTGAATATTTTTCATAACGTAGCAAATTTTCAATTCTGCACTTTGAAAATATATTTCCAGATCATATTAAAACTAATTACTGGTTAATAGTTTCTTTACTAGTTACAGGCATTTTTTTGGTCACTTATGCTTTGGGAGTTGCAAAGGACCTTTTTTATAATCCTTATCATTTCTAGCATGTCCAAGACTCTTATGATCAAATTCCTCATATGTTGCTGAGAACATAGTAGGTAGTCAATAAAAATTTGATTTGTATATTTAGTTGAGTTGATGGGTGAATTATGGATATCTGCCTAAAGTAGATTGGTACTTCATAGATATGGTGTCTGTATTTTATGACCCTCCAGATCAGGATGTGTGTATTGACATGAAGATTAATAGGTGATTTCAACAGGAAAAATTTAGCAGAGTATTAGTAGTCGTTGCTAGGGACTTGAGAATACTACCAAAGAACTTAATTTTTATCTAAAGAATTCTTATCCATAGTTAGGAAGAAAATACCAGAAAATATTGTAGGCTTTTAAGTGGGACCAGACACGTTATAATAAACAATTTTTAAGGAGGGGTAACAATGGTAGTAGTATTTGAAGTTATTAGTGGACACATGATCTGCTAATTTTCCCAGTTATTAGTATGATTAGTGTCTGAGAACTGATTGTTTCTCTCACTATAATTTCAGAGTTCTCCTTTCACCCCATTATTCATTAGATTATTTTCATTTTATGGCATTAGATCACACTTATGAAATTATTTAAAAAGATACATTTAAGACTTTTATAGGTCATTCCTTGTAGCCCATTTAGTATATGTAATGTAATTACTACTTTTCGAGTCTTGTTTACCAGTTTTTTTTTAGTTTTGTCTTCAGGAGTTGAGAAGACAGTTCCCTGGCAGTCACAGAGTCAAGCGACTAACTGGCATGAGATTTGAAGCCATGGAAAGGTAACTTGAGTCTTGTAAACAGTGTGATCTCATTTTAAAATGGCAAACTTGGGGCCTAACTTCATGTTCTCCTATACTTATAGCAATATCGACTGTGCAAGATCTCTTGCTCCTGGGATTCAGAGTAATGTCAGGGTGCTTCTCAGCATAAATTCTGGCCTTTACTCCCAGTAAATGGGACTTGACATAAAAGTAATCCACTTACCATCTCTGGTCTAGTGAAATGAGATCATACTTTAGAATAAGTACTGGCTTCAAATGATCCTGGTTCTAGGATTTATTAGTTGTTTACCTAGTAAATTATTTAACTTTAAGGTTTTTTAGCCTCACTCCTCTGTAAAGCAAGAATATTACCGGTTTGGCTCAGCGATTAGAGCGTCGGCCTGCGGTCTGGAGAGACCTGGGTTCGGTTCCCGCTAAGGGCACGTATCTCGGTTGCAGTTTGTCCCCGGCCCTGGTTGGTCGTGCGGGTGACAACCACTTGATGTGTTCCTTTCACGTCGATGTTTCTCTCTCTCTCCCTCCCTCCCACTCTATCTGAACAAAATATCGAAAAAATGTCCTTGGGTGAGGATAAAAAAAAGAATATTACCAACTTCTCAGGATTTTATGGGAATTAGTAAAAATATGTATAGGTCCCTTGTAGGCATTCAAGGTATAGAGGCTATTATTACTTATTTTTTATTGAGATATAATTGACATATAATATTGTATTAGTTTCAGGAATACAACATAATGATGTGATATATATATAATGAAATGATTATAGTAAGTTTAGTTAATATCCATCACCACCCATAGTATAATCATAAAATTTTTTTTTCTTGTGATGAGAACTTTTAAGATCTATTCTCTTAGCAACTTTAAATATCCCACACAGTTGTTGACTGGTGTAACCATGCTGTACACTGTAGCCCCAGGACTTAATTATTTTTTAACAGGAAGTTTACACCTTTTGACCATCTTCACCCATTTTGCCCACCCCTTACCCCCCCACCTCTGGCAATTACCAGTCTGTTTTCTGTATCTGTGAGTTCAGGTTCTTTCTCATTCCACATATAAGAGATCATACAGTACTTGTCTCTCTGTCTGACTTATTACACTTAGCATAATGTCCTCAGGGTTAATCCAGGTCATAAATGGCAGAATTTCCTTCATTTTTATGAATGGATAATATTGCATTATATGTATGTTGCAACCTCATTTGTCTGTTGATGGACACTTAGGTTGTTCCATGTCTTGGCTGTTGTAAAGAATGCTTCCATGAACATGAGGGTGCATGTATCCTTTAAGATAATGCTTTAGTTTCCTTTAGACAAAGACTGTTTTCTATAGTTGTTTTACCAATTTACATTCCCATGAACAGTGCACAGGGTTCCCTTTTCTCCATGTTCTTGTCAACACTTACTGTCTTGTCTTTTTAAAAATTGCCATTCTAGCCCTAGCCAGTTTGGCTCAGTTGTTTGAGTGTCAGCCTGTGGACCAAAGGGTCGGGGTTCAATTCCCGGTCAGGGCATGTACCTGGGTTGCAGATTCAATCCCTGGCCCTGGTCGGGGTCATGAGGAAGGCAACCAATTGATGTGTTTCTCTCACATAGATGTTTCTCTCTCTTTCCCTTCCTCCCTTTCTCTTACTCTATCTAAAAACCAAAGGAAAAATATCCTTAGGTCCTTACTTAAAAAAATGCCATTCTAATAGATGTGAGGTGATATCTTATTGTGGTTTTGATTTGCATTTCCCTGATGATCAGTGATGTTGAACATCTTTTCATAAACCTGTTGGCCATTTGTGTATCTCAGGAAAAGTGTCAGTTCAGTTTTTCTGCCCATTTATTACTTGAATTGTTTTTTTTTTACTATTGAGTTATGTGAATTCTATATATATTTTGGATATTAAACCCTTATTAAGTGTATGATTTCAGTTTTCTTCTGTTCTATAGGTTACCTCTTCATTTTGTTGATGTTTTCCTTTCCTGTACAGAAGCTTTTTAGTTTGATGTAGTTTCACTTGTTTATTTTTGCTTTTGGTGTCAAATCTAAAAAATCGTTACCAAGACCAATATCTGCTTATCCTTTAGGTTTTCCTCTAGGAGTCTTATGGTTTCCAGTCTTATATTCAGGTCTTGAATCCATTTTGGGTTGATTTTTGTGTATGGTATAAGATAGTGGTTCAGTTTTATTCTTTTACACGTTGCTGTCCAGTTTTCAACGGTTTCTTCAAGGGACTATTTTTCCTCCATTGTATATTTTTTGTTTATTGTAAATTAATTGAACATGTATGTGTGGTGTGGGTTTATTTCTGGGCTCTCTAGTCTGTTACATTGACCTGTGTGTCTGTTTTTATGCCAGTACCATATAGTTTTGATTACTATAGCTTTGTAATGTAGTTTGAAACCAGGAAACTTTGTTCATTTTCCCCAAGACTTGGTTATATGGAGTTTTGTGTGATTCTTTTTTTCTTTTTTTTAATCCTCACCCGAGGACATTTTTCCATTTTTTGTTCAGATAGAGTGGGAGGGAGAGAGAGGAAGAGAGAGAGAGAGAGAGAGAGAGAGAGAGAGAGAAACATCGACATGAAAGGGACACATCGAGTGGCTGCCACCCGCACGACCAACCAGGGCCGAGGACAAACTGTAACCGAGGTACGTGCCCTTAGCGGGAACCGAACCCGGGTCTCTCTGTACCGCAGGTCGATGCTCCAACCGCTGAGCCAAACTGGCCAGGGCTGTGTGATTCTATACAAATTTTGGGATTGTTTGTTCTATTTCTATGAAAAATGCCTTTGGAATATTGCATTGCTTTTGGATAGTAATGGACATTTTACCAACATTAGTTCTTTCAGTTCAGCAGATCATGAGCACAGAATGTCTTTTTATTTATTTATATCTTCAATTTTTTTTTTCATCAATGTCATAGTTTTCAGTCTACAGGTCATTTACCTCTTTGGTTAAATTTATTCTTAGGTATTTTATTCTTTTTGATGCAGTTGTAATGGGAATAATTTTCTTATTTTCTCTTCTGATAAATCATTATTAATATATTGCAGTGATTTTCAACTGGTATACCACAAGAATTTTTAAAACATGCAGTTCCTAACTATTTATTCAGGGACACTGACCTCTTTTCCATTAGGTTAGCAAATAAAAAATAACAAGAGCCAACACAATAGCCATTTGATGTGAATGAATCAAAATTACTCCTATTTTTTGTCAGATTGGCCAAAAATAGATATTTTTTGGTGTGTCGCAGAATTTTAGTAATGAGATTATGTGTGCCATGAGATGAAAAAGATTGAAAATCACCGATGTATTGAAACAGCCGATTTTTGTAAATTGATTGTATATCCTGTAACTTGACTGAATTTGTTTATTCTAATATTTTTTGGTGTAATATTATGCTATAGTAAGCTTTGATTATCTGTGTTTACCTGTATTCTAATTTTCAGGCCATTGATTACCTCTGTGACTGGAATTCTCTGATCCATAGAAGAGTTGTTGGTTTGTTCAGTTTATTTAGCTTTTTTTCTTATGAGGATGGGAGTGACAGCTTCCAAGGTCTTTATATGCTGTTCCAGGAGCCAGAAATCTTGAGCATCTTCTCATAACATTATTGACTGTTTCTATACTTCTTTGGAGAAATGTCTGTTGATATTCTTTGTTTTTATTTTATTTTATTTTTGTTAGAGATGTTTCTCCTTTTTTACCCCATTGACACCCTCCTCCCCATTCCCCCGCCCCGTCCCATCCCTGGCTTTGTTGTCCATGTCCATTGGTTATGCATACATGCATATAAGTTCTGTGATTTATCTCTTCCCACCTCCCATCACCCCCTCTTCTGAGGGTTGTCAGTCTGTACCCTACTTCCGTGTTTCTGGGTCTACCCTGTTCCTCAGACTGTTATATTCCATATATAAGTGAGATCATGTGGTATTTGTCTTTTTCTGCTTGGCTTGTTTCACTTAGGATAATACTTTCCAGGTCCCTCCATGTCGTCTCAAAGGATAAGAGATCTTTCTTTCTTACAGCTACATGGTACTCCATTGTGTATATGTACCACAGCTTTTTTATCCATTCGTCTACTGATGGACACTTGGGCTGTTTCCAGATCTTAGCTATTGTAAATAGTGCTGCTACAAATATGGGGGTACATATATTCTTTCTGATTGGTGTTTCAGGCTTCTTAGGGTATATTCCTAGAAGCGGGATCACTGGGTCAAATGGTTTGTTTTTAAATTGGGTTGTCTTTTTATTATTTAGTTGTAAGAGTTCTTTATATATAGCCTGGATACAAGCCGTGTATCCTTATCAGATACATGATTTGCAAAAAATATTCTGGCATTCTTTTCATTTGCTTAATGTAGCGATTTTCAATCTTTTTCATCTCATGGCGCACATAAACTAATTACTAAAATTTTGTAGTACACCCAAAAATATATTTTTTGCCTATCTGACCAAAAAAGTAAGTATAATTTTGATTCATTCACACAGATGGCTATTGTTGTGTTGGCTGTAGTCATTTTTTTGTTTTTTGTTTTTAATCCTCACCTGAGGATACATTTACTGAATTTTAGAGAGAGATGAAGGGAGAGAGAAACATTGATGTGAGAGAGACACGTGCATTGGTTGCCTCCCACATCACCCCAACCTCTGCTAGGGATCGAACCTGCAAACCAGGTACGTGCCCTCGACCAGGAATTGAACCTGTGATCCTTTGGTCCTTGGGCTGATGCTCTAATGCTGAGCCAGATCAGCTAGCGCTGTTGTCATTTTTCTTTATTTGACAGTCTAAGGGAAAATAAGTCAATGCCCCTGACCAAATAGGTATTGCATGTTTTAAAAATTATTGTGGCACACCATCGGGCAGCAGCACACTTGTTGAAAAATCACTGGCTTAATGATGTCCTTTGATTACAAAAGTTTTTTATTTTTATGAAGTCCCATTTTCTTTGTTTTACTTGTAGTGCCATATCTGGAAACCATTATCTAATCCAAGGTCACAAA